TGGTTTGTCCGTGTAATACTTGTATATGTGAGTGGTTTGTCCGTGTAATACTTGTATATGTGTGTGTGGTTTGTCCGTGTAATACTTGTATATGTGAGTGGTTTGTCCGTGTAATACTTGTATATGTGAGTGGTTTGTCCGTGTAGTACTCGTATATGTGTGTGATTTGTCCGTGTAATACTTGTACTTGTGTGATGTTGACTGTCACTGATGGAGGAAGGCGAGATCTTTTTTTTTACTTCTTTTTGTCTGTTCTAGTTTACTTGTAGCTTGTAGCCTGCTATTTCTTTCCTTTCCTTTTACATTTTACTTTATACCGGTTATCCAATTCATGTTTGCAATAAAAATTTTAAAAACCAACTCCCATTCAGTTGTCTATACTAGAAAATGTTTAGGTTATTTTGTTTTTATAATCTTTTGTTGTGTTCAGTCTAGATCTAGATTTAGATATACTAGAAAATGTTTTTTTTCCCCCTGAATTTCTGTTGTTGTGTTCAGTTTATACTAGAAAATGTTTTTTCCTGCTCGATTTCAGTTCAAAATGTGTCCACTTTTTTCTATCTCTCTGAGGGAGACATCTGTGTGCTGTAGTCACCCTTTCTTTCATTGAGTGGAACCCACATTGTGCTGAAAAGAGGTGTAAAACCCAAAATCCAATTGTCTAAAGTAAAATCGGGAAGTAGATGTGCATGTTGCAGGCCTTCCTGATGTCATGTTTCCTTTTTCTTCCTCTCAACGCTGGGAAGTTCTTCCAAGGAGAGGAGGTCTACAATTTGCAACGCTTTGTATGGGAATGTTATACATACATGTACCTTTACTTTGTATGGGAATGTTATACATACATAAAATGTACCTATACTTTGTATGGGAATGTTTTACATGTATAAAATGTAGGCCTACCTATACTTTGTATGGGAATGTTATACATACATAAAATGTACCTATACTTTGTATGGGAATGTTATACATACATAAAATGTACCTATACTTTGTATGGGAATGTTTTACATGTATAAAATGTACCTATAATTTGTATGTGAATGGTATATAAATGTACCTATACTTTGTATGTGAATGTTTTACAATTGTAGATCTAGATCTACCTATAACTTGTCTTGTATCATTCTTTGCTTTTTTAATTTTTAAAAATTAGTTTGTTACTTTTTTTACTCATGTATACCATTCTTTATGTTTCATAATTATGTAATACATGTTATATAATACTATATTATTATTATATATATATAACCTGTTGCGTACTGGCGACAAGCTTTGTTCTTGATACTTGATGTTCTGTTCTGTTCGTGGCTACGCTTCATTAAAACAAACAGTTCTCACCCGGCCTTTTTGTTTGTTCTCTGTTTGTGTTGGTGGGGTAGGTGGTTGGAGGGCGCCACTGGGTGGTCCTACTTCTTGACTTTCCCTCTGTTGTTTCTGTCTGTGTGGGTGGTTGGAGGGTGTCGCTGGTCGGTCCTACTTCTTTACTTTCCCTCTGTTGTTTCTGACACCCCGGGGCAGTGCCACTGACTGTAGTGACCCCCCGGGGCAGTGCCACTGACTGTAGTGACCCCCCGGGCAGTGCCACTGACTGTAGTGTCTTTAGGCCTTTCCCAAAGGGGGGACATTTCTCGTTCAAGCACAGTAGAATTGTACATGGGCTCACTCATGTCATGCTCATAACTGCGCCTGATCTACAACAGGGAACTGCTGCTTTTTCTTTCCTGATCCTTACTATTTTCATTTTCCTCTACTTCTTTTGTATGTTTGTCACTCTCTTGTGACCCGCTATTTTGGGGTGCCTTGATAGTCGAAGCAGACTTTGTCAACTTTGTGCTGTTGAGGCTAGAGAGGTGAGCAGAGTAAGCCTGATTCCCTGTAAAGACTTCTCTGTTGACACCCACCCCTTGGCGCTCATATGACCTTATGCAGTTGCGAGCGCCGTAAAACCCTCTATCATAAAGAAATATGACTGTGTGGGTGTTTGGAGGGTGTCACTGCAGGTAGGTCCTACTTCTTGACTTTCCCTCTGTTGTTTCTGTCTGTGTGGGTGGTTGGAGGGTGTCACTGGTAGGTCCTACTTCTTGACCTTCCCTCTGTTGTTTCTGTCTGTCTGTGTGGGCGGTTGGAGGGTGTCACTAGTAGGTCCTACTTCTTTACTTTCCCTCTGTTGTGTGTGTCTGTGTGGGTGGTTGGAGGGTGTCACTGGTAGGTCCTACTTCTTGACCTTCCCTCTGTTGTTTCTGTCTGTCTGTGTGGGCGGTTGGAGGGTGTCACTAGTAGGTCCTACTTCTTTACTTTCCCTCTGTTGTGTGTGTCTGTGTGGGTGGTTGGAGGGTGTCACTGGTAGGTCCTACTTCTTTACTTTCCCCTCTGTTGTTTCTGTCTGTGTGGGTGGTTGGAGGGTGTCACTGGTAGGCCCTACTTCTTTACTTTGTCTGTCTGTGTGGGTGGTTGGAGGGCGCCACTGGTAGGTCCTGTTTCTTTACTTTCCCTCTGTTGTTTCTGTCTGTGTGTCTTACTTTTTCCCAGCACTAATAAATGACCATTATTGTGTCAATGTGCTTCCCTTTAGTCAAACAAACAAACAAACAATGTTTCTGTACATTACTATAAAGTAACCTCTTTATTCCTCGCAACTTGTATGACCTATTGTGTCTCAGATGGCGGAAACGTTTTTCGGAAAATTAAAAAAAAAGAGCTTGGGTTGTCCCTGAGCGGTGGTTCTTGTCTTTGTGTTCATTTGTCGATGTTTCTGTTGGAGAGATTAGTTATTACAATTGATTAATTGTTTCATCTTGGAGACTTCCTTGTACCGAGCGACAATAGATTAATTGTTTCCACGAGCTTCCCTTTCCTCCAACAAACACACAGCACTCATCGCAGGGCAAACAATAACGCCTCACCAAAGACCTTACTAGTATAAAACCTCCTTGCACGCCACCAAAGACCTTATTGTATAACCCACGGCTTACTAGAATAATCAGGCCTCCCCAGCGGGCGCGTAGTCTGAAAATGTGGAGGCGAGTTTAAAACGAGGTCACTGCAGTAGCCTACGCGAGACAATAGGACGGCAGCGCAATCAGATCACCGAAAGGAAAATCAAATAAGACTGTGCTTATTGTACAAACAAATATTATCTAGATTGGATTTATGATAACTAGATTTCTAGATCTAGACTGTAGTTCTTGTCTCATTTCTCTTTCTAGGTGCGGTAAAAGAGCTTCACTTCCCATTGGCAAAGGGCACAGGAAATAATGAGAGAAAGAAGAAGAATAAAAATAGCATTTTATAGCACATATCCATGGAAAACACAATTCAGGCTCTATGTGCTAAAAAATATACTCATTCATTATGCAAGCAAAGAATAATTTATAGGCCTAACAGCAGAAACATTGCCAAATATGGGTAATACACACCTAAAAATGTAAGCATGTATACACACATATAGACATGATAGACACTATGCGTTCACAAATATAGCAGTGTAAATATTATGAAAAAGGTTTAACTTACAACATTGTTTATGAAGACAGCTTTAGGACTTTCTGTTTAGGTTCTTTCTCAGATGGTGGATATCCAATCTTGCAGAAATTGTTTAGCAAAATATTGCTCATGACAAAGCAGTTGTGCTGTCTCATCTCAAAACCACAATACTGTGAGATGGCCATAAATATTTCACTCAAAGAGTTTCTGCATAGCCTACCTTGTCACACACTGGCTCCTATAAATGAACACAATGAATCAAAAGAAACCATGTCTTTTTGTGAATATTCTTCGAACTGGTCACTTTCAACTGATCTGACTGAATAACTAGCCTAGATCTAGATCTAGCTCTAGGCCTACATGTTATTTTTGCTAAGGGCACTGGTGTGGGAATTAAACTTTTGGGCAAGTTAAAAAACAACGATGGAGGGTTTCTTGGTCTTAACCTTCCTTTGACAGAAATAGCTTCAAATCCATCTCTGGAAAATGTTTAATAGACTACAAACAACAGTATTTGCAGTATCGGGTATATTGTCGCGAGGGATTGCTTTTATCCAACGTTCTCTCTCATCTTTATCTTAGATCTAATGTAGATCTATATTCTAGATCTAGATATCTAGATCTAGATCTAGATCTAATCTAAAAACGGTAACCTTGTCAGTAAAGTCATAATTTAACCTGCACCCAGTAACACAACATTTTCTGCCCATTTCCAACAAGTCTGTACAATGTACATTATTCCATTAGAAAGCACTGAAATTGATAGATCTAATCCAAATGAACTACTCTCGGCCTATCCTCATGTCACACACACGTTTCACATCACAAAGCAAGGCGGCGGACATTTTGAAAACTTTGTTTACTTCCGTCCCTGTTCTTCTCACCTCCCCTGACCTAATACATTTCAGAAATGTTTTTCAAGTAAAAAAAACAACAATTGTAATTCAAATGAAGAACATTTTCAAAAATGGAGAAATGTAAAGTGTACATTGGAAGCTATTTGGTATTAAAGAAAGGATAGATCTATTTCTTTATTTCTGCCAGGGAATTTGTTAAATGCTATTTATAGGAATGGGATGTCAATCGACTGTTTAATGTGACTCCCACGTTCTGACCTAGTTATGCGTCGCCTCCACATTTTCAGACTACGGTCGCGCTGAGGAGGCCTGATTATTCTAGTAAGCCGTGGTATAACCTAAATAGCGCCTCACCAAAGACCTTACTGTATAACCTCTATAGCGCCTCACCAAAGACCTTACTGCATAACCTCTATAGCGCCTCACCAAAGACCTTACTGCATAACCTCCTTGCACGCCGCCAAAGACCTTACTGCATAACCTCCTTGCACGCCGCCAACTTCACTTGTGTCGTGAGCCAAAAACACTGTCGTCGCACACAGTGACAAAGGAGGTTCACTAATGACTAATGACTAAATACTAGGCCCCCTAATGACTAATTAACCAATGACTAATGGCCTCCCCTCAAAGTAAGAGTCAGACGACCCCCTAGATGTACACTATAGGTTTACAAGGGGGTAATAGCTTTACGGACGACTCCCATCACCACCCACTTAGTCCTTGACCTTGACCTTGACCTTTACCAAAGATTTCCCCCCACTCGACGTCTACCGATCCAAGAGGAAGGGAAAATAAAGACAAGTCAAGTCAAGGGTCAAGTCAAGTCAAGTCAAGTCAAGTCAAGTCAAGTCACGTAAGTCAAGTAAATCAAGTAAAATAAAGTCAAGTAAGTCAAATCAAGTCAACAATCTATACTAGAAAATGTTGTTTTGTTGTTGTTTTTTTGTGTTCAGTCTATACTAGGAAATTGTTTTTCTAAATTGTTGCTGTTGCGTTCAGTCTATACTTTTAAACATTTTTGCTGTTGCGTTCAGTCTATACTTTTTAACATTTTTGCTGTTGCGTTCAGTCTATACTTTTTAACATTTTTGCTGTTGCGTTCAGTCTATACTATAAAAAGTTTTTGAATTCTAAATTTTTTTTGTTTTGTTCAGTCCATACTAGAAAATGTAAAAAAAAAAGTTTCTGAAATGTTGTTGCTGTGTTCAGTCTACACTAGAAGCGTTTTTCTTTTTCTTACTTTTTGTTTTTTTGTTTTCATTCTATATTAGAGAATGTTAAAAGGTTTTTTTTCAGAATTTTTGTTGTTGTGTTCAGTCTATACTAGATCTAGACAATTTTTTACACTTTTGTTGTTGTGTTCAGTTTTTACTAGATTAGAAAATGTTTTTTTCAGATATTTTGTTTCAATACTTTTGTTGTTGTGTTAAGTTTATACTAGATAATGTGTTTTTTCTGACTTTTTGTTGTTTTCTTTAGTCTCTACTAGAATTTATTATTTTAAAAAAAATTAATGTTGCCATATTCAGTCTATACTGGAAAATGTTGTTTTTTTTCCTGTGTTGTTGTGTTCAGTCTATAGAAAATGTAAGTTTTTTCAGAATTTTTGTTTTTGTGTTCAGTTTATACTAGAATTAAATTTAAGAAAATTTTTAATGCATTTTTGTTGTTGTATTCAGTCTATACTAGATCTAGAAATTTTTTTCTTTTTTTTACATTTTGTTGTTGTGTTCAGTTTTTACTAGAGAATGTTTTAATGTTTTTCTTTTCTGAATGTTTGTTGTTGTGTTCAGTCTATACTAGAGAATGTTTTAATGTTTTTCTTTTCTGAATGTTTGTTGTTGTGTTCAGTCTATACTAGAGAATGTTTTAATGTTTTTCTTTTCTGAATGTTTGTTGTTGTGTTCAGTCTATACTAGAGAATGTTTTAATGTTTTTCTTTTCTGAATGTTTGTTGTTGTGTTCAGTCTATACTAGAGAATGTTTTAATGTTTTTCTTTTCTGAATGTTTGTTGTTGTGTTCAGTCTATACTAGAGAATGTTTTAATGTTTTTCTTTTCTGAATGTTTGTTGTTGTGTTCAGTCTATACTAGAGAATGTTTTAATGTTTTTCTTTTCTGAATGTTTGTTGTTGTGTTCAGTCTATACTAGAGAATGTTTTAATGTTTTTCTTTTCTGAATGTTTGTTGTTGTGTTCAGTCTATACTAGAGAATGTTTTAATGTTTTTCTTTTCTGAATGTTTGTTGTTGTGTTCAGTCTATACTAGAGAATGTTTTAATGTTTTTCTTTTCTGAATGTTTGTTGTTGTGTTCAGTCTATACTAGAGAATGTTTTAATGTTTTTCTTTTCTGAATGTTTGTTGTTGTGTTCTCTATACTAGAGAATGTGTTTTTCTTTTACAATTTGTTGTTGTGTTTAGATTTTGCAAGAACATTTTTTTCCAGAATTTTTTTTTTTTTCAGTCTATCTACATTTTAAAAAAAATTTTGTTGTTGTGTTCAGTTTATACTAGAAAATCTATGCTTTTTTCTTAATTTTGTTTTGTTGTGCTCAGTCTTTACTAGAAAATGTTTTTTTTAAAGAATGTTTTTTTTTTTGGTTTTTCGTCTATACTAGAGAATGTTTAATTTTTTGTAAAAATCTGAATTTTTGTTGTTGTGTTCAGTCTATAGCCTACTACAAAAGTATTTTGTTGTGTTCAGTCTATACTAGTACTAGAAATGTATTTTTTTTCTATATTTTTATTGTTTTGTTCAGTTTATACAACAAAATGTTTTTTTTCTGATTTTTTGTTGTTGTGTCTACACAAGAAATTATTATTAAATTTTTGTTTTATTTTATTTTAATGATTTTTTGTTGTTGTTTTCAGTCTATACTAGAATCTAGATTCTAGAATTGTTTTTAAATAAAAAAATTGTGCTCAGTCTATACTAGAATCTAGATTCTAGAATTGTTTTTAAATAAAAAATTTGTGCTCAGTCTATACTAGAATCTAGATTCTAGAATTGTTTTTAAATAAAAAAAATTGTGCTCAGTCTATACTAGAATCTAGATTCTAGAATTGTTTTTAAATAAAAAATTTGTGCTCAGTCTATACTAGAATCTAGATTCTAGAATTGTTTTTAAATTAAAAATTTGTGCTCAGTCTATACTAGAATCTAGATTCTAGAATTGTTTTTAAATAAAAAATTTGTGCTCAGTCTATACTAGAATCTAGATTCTAGAATTGTTTTTAAATATAAAATTTGTGCTCAGTCTATACTAGAATCTAGATTCTAGAATTGTTTTTAAATAAAAAAAAATTGTGCTCAGTCTATACTAGAATTTAGATTCTAGAATTGTTTTTAAATTTAAAAAATTGTGCTCAGTCTATACTAGAAAAAAACATTTTTTTCTACTGAATTGCTGTTGTTTGTTCAGTTTCTACTAGAAAATGTTTTGTAAAAAAAAAAAATTGTTGTTGTGTTCAGTTTCTACTAGAAAATGTTGTTTTTTTTACAGAATTTCTGTTGTTGTGCTCAGTCTATACTAGAACATATTAAAAAAATTTTTTTAATGAATTTTTGTTTCTGTTTTCAGTCTAGATTCTTTGTTAGAAAATATTTATATATTTTTTATTTTTGTTGTTGTGCTCAATCTATACTAGAACATTTTTATTTTTAATTTCTTTTTTTTTTCCTGAATTTTTGTTGTTGTGTTCAGTCTATACAGTAAACTAGAAAATGTATTTTTGTTCTTAATTATTGTTGCTGTGTTCAGTCTACATGTTTTTTTTCAGAATTTTTTTTTCAGTCTATACTAGAGAATGTTTAAAAATGGGTTTTTTTCTTCTGAATTTTAGTTGTTGTGTTCAGTCGAAAAATGAAAAACCTTTAAAAAACAATTTTTGTTGTTGTTGTGTTCAGTCTATAGCCTATTAGATCTAGTAAATGTTTTTTAAAAGTAATTTGTTGTAGTGTTCAGTCTATACTAGAAAATGTTTTTTTTCTCCTGAATTTTGGTTGTTGTGTTCAGTCTATATACAATCTATCCTAGAAAATATTATTATATTTGTTATTTTAGTTGTTGTGTTCAGTCTATACTAGAAATTTTTTTTTTGGTTTTTAAAAATTTGTGTTGTTGTGTTCAGTCTATACTAGAAAATGTTTGATTTTTTCAGAATTTTTTTTTGTTGTGTTCAGTTTATACTAGGATTTCTTACCTAAAAAAATAAATTTAATGAATTTTTGTTGTGGTGTTCAATCTGTACTAGAAAATGTGTGGTTTTTTTTGTTTGTTTTTTTGGTACACTTTTGTTGTTGTGTTCAGTTTTTACTAGATCTAGAAAATGTTAAACAAATATTTTTTTCTATATTTTTGTTGTTGTGTTCAGTTTTTACTAGATCTAGAAAATGTTAAAAAAATATTTTTTTCTATATTTTTGTTGTTGTGTTCAGTTTTTACTAGAAAATGTAAAAAAAATATTTTTTTCTATATTTTTGTTGTTGTGTTCAGTTTATACTAGAACATGTTTTTCTTTTTTTGAATTTTTTGTTGTTGTGTTCAGTGTATACTAAAGAATGTGGGTTTTTATTCACAATTTTGTTGTTGTGTTCACTTTTTGCAAGAATTTTTTTTTTCTGAACTTTTGTAGTGTATACTAGAAAATGCGTTTTTTTCGTTGAAATTTTTGTTGTTGTGCTTAGTTTATACTAGAAAATGTTATTTTTTCTTAATTTTTTTTTCTGTTGCGAGGTCTATTCTAGAAAATGCTTTATTGTTCCGCCTTTTTAAAAAGTCTATACTAGAGAATGTTGAAAAACAATTTTTTTTCTGAATTTTTGTTATGCTCAGTCAGTTTATGCTAGAAATTCTTTGTTGTTGAATTTTTGTTGCTGCATTCAGTATATACTAGAAAATATTTTTAAACATTTTATTTTAATGAATTTTGTTCTACTAGAAAATGTATAAAAAAAATAATTTGTTGTTGTGTTCAGTTTATACTAGAAAATGAATGTGTTTTTTTTCTAAATGTATGTAGTCTTTGTTCAGTCTATACTAGAATTTTTTATTTTAAATTTAAATGCATTTTTTTAATGTTGTTTTCAGTTTATATTAGAAAATGTTTTTCTATATTTTTTGTTGTGATATTCAGTCTGTACTAGAAAATGTTTTTTTTTTTCTGAATTTTTGTTATTGTGTTCAATTTATACTAGAATTTTAATGATTTTAAAACATTTTCTGTTGCTGTGTTTAGTATTATACTAGAAAATGTTTTTTTTCCTGAAAATTTGTTGTTCTTTTCAGTTTATATTATTAGAACATTTATATAAAAAAATTTTGTTGTTGTGTTCCATTTATACTAGAAAATGTTTGTTTTTCTGAATTTCTGTTGTTGTGTTCAGTCTATATACTAGAAAATGTTTGTTTTTCTGAATTTCTGTTGTTGTGTTCAGTCTATATACTAGAAAATGTTTGTTTTTCTGAATTTCTGTTGTTGTGTTCAGTCTATATACTAGGAAATGTTTGTTTTTCTGAATTTCTGTTGTTGTGTTCAGTCTATATACTAGGAAATGTTTGTTTTTCTGAATTTCTGTTGTTGTGTTCAGTCTATATACTAGGAAATGTTTGTTTTTCTGAATTTCTGTTGTTGTGTTCAGTCTATA